ATAAATATCATGTTATATGAGTCGCTTCAACCCGCGGACATGAAAAACAACCGGCGGCAACAGTGTTAAAGTATCCCAATTCCGCGGGAAAACCACGGACTTGGCAACACTGAAAGAGACATCAACTGGTCAAAGAAGAAGGAAACATTAAGTGCACAAAACTTTAAAACCGAATTATCCACAAATCCCTTTAAAGGTTTCTTAATACGGTTCAGAAAACAGAAACTGCTGGGGTTTACGCTTTTCAGACAATCATTATATGTTAATCTAAAGCATTTATGGCTGACAGCAGTTAAAGACAAGCAATTGGGCATGAAGTGCTTTACAGTAAAACAATCTAATCTCATTCAGACAGTCAATTCATTTACCCAAATGTGTCTCCATATAAACTTGAAGAACATTTGTTTGGTTCAGTTTATATCCATTTAAAATGAGGTTTTGCATTTACCATCTTGTTTGCAGCACTATACTCGTTCTTGTCGTTCAGGTGACACTGTCCATCGTGAGGATGCACTAGTCCACCGAGTTTGCCATCCAAAGCCAAGTGAGGGATGTCATCGGTGGCAAACACCAAGAGATGGTAGGCCTCTTTCCTCCAGCCAATCTTCTCCTGCCACAATGAGATGAAACTCTCATTTATACCAGCCTATATCTTGTCATATCTCTATACCATGTTCATTTTAATATGCTTGTATACAGTGTTAAAATGTATACAGTGTTTCTGTATAGTTGATAGATCAGTTAAGTTATATTACAGAGTTGTCACATATGGAGATGATTAGTTTTCCAAATAAAACACATCTACGATCACTTTTGAGAAAAAATCTGTAAAGCATTTTGGCAGCTATTTTTTATTCAATTTAATTTTTTTTTTTTATTATGCATACAGCTTTTATGGCCTCATATTAATTAAGAAACTAAATGGAATATATACTTTTAAACATTAGTGTCACTACACAAAACCATTTTAAATATACTTTCAAAAAGAAATGCAGGCAAAATGGCTATTTAAAATTGGTGACCAGTTACAGTTTTATTCACAGATGCATATATATTTTACCTAAAATTTAGATACAAAAAGTGCATGGACTAATCAAACATGCTGACTAGCATTTTAGATGGCTGAATAGCCAAAAACAGGATGTTCAGGAAATTCTGAAGAACTGAGAAATAAACCTCAGATAGAACAGCACAAAAACAAGACATTCTCTCTCTTTTCATTAAACCCCACTGGACAGGCTTACTGTTTCTATAGGGAGTTAAAGGAGTCAAAGAAGCTTAGTGATGAAACAGCAAAATGACCTGTCTTTACTGACTGCTTACCTTGCAAACTGCAGCCTGCAGAATGGCATCAAACCCCCCCTCTGGTGCGTCCCTGTTCCGCGACACCATCTGCTTCTGCACTTCTTCATTAAAACGGTCAACCTTGTCCGTAAGAGACAAGAGGTGACGGAAGTCAAACGTAGGGACACAGTTTGAGAACAACTTATATCTGTAATAAGAGAGAAATTATAAAAACATAGAAAGAAGAAAGAGATGAAGAAACCAGAAGCTTAATCAGCAACACTGAAATCATACATTAAATAGTGTTTTTGATATCATATTTTATCATAATTCAGAACTTCTACAGATTTAAATATACATTATATTATCATGTTCAAACAAAGCATATATATATATATATATAGTTTTTATTTTTTTTTATATAATATACATATTAAAACTGCTCAATTTATATACCAGCACCAAAAAAACTTTTTAAAATTTTGTTTACATTTAAATTTAATTGATTTAGATATACATGATATTAGCATGGGCAAAAAGTCTTTAATTAAATGCTCCATTTTACATCCAAATGGTATAACAGTTTATGTATAAAATGTTGTTTTTAATTGTTGTGTTGAATTACTCTATGAAATATAGTTAAATAATATTAAATATAATTTATAGTAGTAAATAGTTATTTTTGAAAGGGTAGAGTGACGTGTACTCATTGTAGAATAAGGTATATGCCTTGTCCCTATGATATCTGTTGTGGTACAGTGAGCATTCAAGAGGACTGAAAGCATAACCTACATGGTCACTGATGCATGATGGGCAGTGGGCTGCATGGGGTAATAGCTTCTCTGGGCTTATTTTAAAGTGTGAATTAAGACTGTGGTTAACAAGTCCAGAACTGTGGCATGCCGAGTGCTTTTGGATTTTAAAGACACATACACTTCACCAAATGAGAAAGTACTGTGTCCAAACAGTTCTCACTAACAAGTAGCTGTTCTCTTCATTGCATAACAAAGGGCATTAAAGGGCAAAAGGCGTAAGAGCCTTTGTGCATTTGAATTTAGATACAAGGAAAGCCAATCCCAAACCTGTTTACAGCTCATCACAGATCTGTGAGAAGTCTCTTTCTTACCCATTGCACGGGTTGTCCTGGTACTTGGGGGCTGTGTAGGAGAAGGGTGAGATGTTCTTGTCCACAAAGGAGCCAAAGCCAAGGCGGAAGTTACTTGTAAGCTTCCTCATTTCCTCAGCCAGTTTGGTGCCCAGGTTGCGGATTGTGTCCAGATCGTCCTTCATGGAGAGCGAGAGGTCCATCAGGTAGTACAAATCAACAGGGTAGTCTTCCACAGGACGCACTTGTACCTCAAAAGAGGTCTGGTCACCTGAAGGATGTAAGAGTAATTACATTGACATGCAATTTCAAGGTATCTACAAAGGTTTTTTTTTCTTTTTCTAAATCTATCAGCAGATGCATACCAGGCCTTAAGCTGAGAGAGATCTTCTGTGGGTATATCTGGATGACATCATACTGGGTCACTCCAGAACCTTTGGAGCTCAGAGGTTTGCTCTGCAACAGAGAGCTGCCACTCCTGGGACTTTCTATAAAAGGTGCATCACAACCTCTTTTCTGTAAGTTCTGGCTAAAGTCACATCGTGAGTTGAGAGTTCTAACCTGTCCAAAGTCCTGAATCAGGAAAAAAGATCGCTGTTTTAAGTAATGTGAGGAAAGAAACCATTAAATAAATGAGCAAACCCACAAATGCGGTGAGATACAGCACTAATGCTCTTAGCAACCTGTCAACAGTCAGAAGCACTGAATTATTCAAGTGTATTAAAATGTATAAATAAATAAGTGGCCAGTCTATGATGGCTAAAAATACTGTCTAGGCAGGCAGCTCAGTAGGTTTTGTGACACAGTCACAACTCAAACATCAACTTGTGTACCTCTTGCGCGCACCAGGCGCAGTTCGGGTGAATGAGGAGACATTCTTCACAAGATGTGGCGCTGCCGCTCATGCAAACGTTGAGACCTTAAAATAAATCAAATAAAAATAAACCATCCATTGCAGGTCAAATAGGCATTATGAATAAATGCATTTAACACTCTTTTATTTAAAGACACTTACAACTGAGGAACACTACGACACAAGTGATTCATGCTAAGACAGAAACATGAGAAACGATACAAAGTCACAAGTTGCTTAGAAAAATAACTAGGGCAAACTGTCCTCCCCTTATTATCATGGTGGTGAAATAAAAACATAAATGACAGACTAAATACACTTATGCAATTAATTAATACAGAAATTAGGGGGAAAATAAATTAATTTTCAAATATACAATTTATGAATGTATTTATTTTTCACAAAATTCACAACATTTATTTCATGCATTCGCATTTGCTAATTTATTGTGTATTAAATCTAGTTGCATTGTTACTTATCTAAACGAAATCAGACATAGCATTTTGATGACAGATGTGATTTCACCAAACACTGTACTTATACTTACCTCCGACGCTGTGAATAAACATTTTCAAGACTATGTAAACTAGAAGAGCCGGGTGACGTGTAAATGGGCAAGGATTCCACATTATTCCTTACAAAATGAAAAGCCCGTTCAACGTCAACTGAGTTTTTTTTGTTGTCCAATTGTATAAAACGTTTCTATTATAAATGTCCGTTTTTTATATTGTGAGCGGCTGAGATCTTTGTTTCCATCCTCTCCACATCAAAGCGACGCACACATGACTGAAGTCAGTGTCGGTAAACACACAAGTTAAATCCGAGGCGATACTGCTACTCTGAACAATAATCCACATTCGAAGTGAGTGTTACTGTCGCACTCTGTCTGAAGTCCACTGCAGTAGTTACTTAAATATGCACTGTATCCATACTGAGTTTCAAATCTTCAGTGCAAGCACATTTTCAACTTTGTAAACAGACTGTTTTATTCATCATCCGGTTGTTTTCAGCGTGGAAGTTCAATAGTTGAGTGCCTACCGCGTCCCTCACATTACTTTAGACTCCGCCCATGGGAGAAGGGACTGGGATTTTTCCCCCCAACAAGTCACGCCCCCTACGCTGTGATTGGCTAGTAGGGCGACATCCAAACTTGCACTGATTGGACAGTAAACAGGTAATTCAAATATCTTTACCAATCAAAGAAAATAGCAATCAGTCGAAGGGCGGGGCTAGTCAGAATATGAAGGAAAAAATAACGCAGATTAGGACGAAGCAGTTTGAAAGGACCTTTAACCCTTTAATTAGTTGACCATAGTAACCTATGCAGGTGTTTTGTTATGGACTGAGCAATCACATTTTGCTCTAAAATGTAAATCAGTATCTCACATTAAACTGTCAAATTACAGAGAAAAAATATGTTGTTGCATGCTGTTTCTTCTTAAACTCATTTGAATATGTCAGTAGTACATTAAACATCTAAATCCTTTAAGATCTGGCTTGGAAATTTCATCCAGCGCAGTCAGCAGTCACGTGACCATCACTAATTACATCCCCACCTGTTCCACAGAAAGAACTGCAGAGAACCTATTAGGTACCCACTTCCAAAAAAATGTTTTATTCAGGAAACACAAGGAAACTTATCATAACTGATAACAGCAGAGATGAAAACCTGAAAAACCTGAAATGAATTTAAAAATTACTCCAATTCCAGGAGAAGGAAATGCTCTGATTAAAGAATTACAACGAAATGGTTGTACATAACATAAAAGTTAGTTGCAAAAACTGAACTGACAACTGAAATCCAGTCGTACTGGTCAGGGAACTATTTACAAGGCCTTTACCGCTGCTTAAAACAGCACAAACTCAAACAAATGACGGGGTAGAGGCCTGTGTGAGAAGCTCAGAGGTCATATCCACTATAGATCTCAAAGGAATCCCACTGAGGAATCCCTGATGCTTGGCCCGCAGTTCCAGCAGGGCATCTACGATCCTCTGGCGGCCTACATTTGGGTGGCACGCCGACAGCCGGGCCATGATTGTGTCAAAGCTTCCCATGGTGGCGTAGTGCTGCGGCACACAGGTGCCAGAGGCTGTGGGCGAGTCGCAGACATTTGTTAACCTGTCCACACTACAGCGTGGCCCCTAAGTCAAAAACATAATGACATCTTAAAGTTTGGAACAGAAAATAAAAAATGGTCTGATATTAGCAATAATTTAAACTAATTTATAAAAAATATATACAATTTAAAATATTATAATAATAGTAATATATTAGTTAATTACTTACTATAATTATATTAGCCAATAGTATAATATATACTAGTCATTATTAATTGCATTTCAGTACAAGTACCAATGACAGAAAACTAACTAATTTTGGACATAAGCTTTCTAAAAAGCCTGCCACTTCATACTTACTCCATGTGATGAACTGTAGGTTACACCCTTAGTTCCCAGTCCACCAGTCCCTGCAGTTTCAGCTTTATGGGTTTCTGAGGTGCTGAGGGACTGATCACTGATCAGTTTAGGATCAGCTGAGCCAGGCCCACAGAGGTGCACCACCTGGACAGTGTGGCCTTGAATGGAGCACCCATTTAGATCTTTAACTGCTGCCTTGGCATCGCTGGGGCTCTTGAGATAGACAGTAGCTGCCCTACAAAAGCACAGACAAGATTGAAGTTCATTAATGATAATCTCTAATTATGCTTTAAAGCCTGGAACTACTGCATTCAGCATTACTACAGGGTCTATCAAGATTAATATAAAAAAGCAAACACTGTGATTTAAAACATGCTACTACTGCCAGTTTAACAACTGTAACCATCACAGTTTGGGTGTGGAGCTGTAAGCTCTTGATTGTTGTTATACAGGTACAATGAGATTAGGCGAAACCATAGACCGTATAAAAACATGGACGTAGTGTCCGTGACGTCACCCGTAGGGTTCCGAAGATAGTTTTTGAAGCTCAAAAGTGGGCGGAGGCGGCCGTCGCCATCTTGGCAGTGGGTCACTTCGCGTCACTCCCGGATAATCGAAGATGGGCAAAGAGGCGGGAGCTGGGCCAGTTGACGAATTACAGTTTAAAGGGGTCATATGATGCAATTTCAATTTTTCCTTTC